TCGCAACGCTGCGCCCCCACGCCTCCTGGGGATGCATAGTTAGAGGCGTCAACTGCCCATCTCTATGCCCCGCTCGATCCATTTTGCGAGTCGGGTTGATGTTGGCCATTGCTGCTCTCCTTGTCCCCCGCTATACTTGCCGCCCTTCTCACCGCTGACGTATGCATGAGTGGACACCTCAGACGTTGGTCTTCAGGGCTGTGGGAAGAAGGAGGAGGAGGAGGACCAGTGTATACCCAAGAGTCATCAACGTGATGAAATGAACCCTCCCTCCAGGCTCCCTCTTCATAGGTCCCCACAACGGCTTAATCCCACCAGCCCTCTGGGCGTAGGTGGTCTAGAGCAGATCCTCTTCCACCCCTCCCTCTTCCCCCTTGGGGAGGGGTTTACCCCTCCCCCTACCCCCTCCCCTGGACCTGGACGGGGGGGGCCGCGGGTAGTTAGAGCGTCCCAGATGGCCCAAGACGGCTCCAAGAGCGCCTCAGAGAACCCAAGATGAGCTCCAAAATGGCTCAAGATAGCGCAAGATCGCTCGAGATGGCTCCTAAGATGGTTCCAAGAAGCCCAAAGACGGCCCCAAGATAACTCCAAGTGGCCAAACAGCTCCCCAAGGAGGCCCCGAAGAGGCCAAAATCGTCCCAAAACCTAAGGAAAATCAATGATTTTTGCTTTCTCGCCTTTTCGCTTCCGATGGCCATCCGAGGCCTGGAGATGGTTCCAAGATGGCCCAAGAGGGCCCCAAGAGAGCCCCAAAAGAGCCCCAAGACGGCCCCAAGAGCGCCCAAGAGCACTCCAAGAGCGTTCCAAGAGGGGTCCAAGAGGCGATTTTAGGGGCTTCCGAGGGGGGACGCTAATTAAACCCCCCCTCTTGTTTGATCGATCTCCTCCAAGATGGCCCCAAGAAGCGCCCAGGAAGCCCCAAGAGGTCCCAAGATGGCCCCAAAATGGCCCCAAGAGGCCCCCAAGAGGCCCCCCGGAGGCCCCCAAGAGACCCCCAAGAGGCCCCAAGAGCCCCCCCAGATGCACCCAAGATGCTCCAAGAGGCCTCGGCGAGAATGCCTAATCATTGATTCTACACAGGTTTTAGCCACATGGAGGCCTCTTGGGGGGGGGCACGGATTAAGATGACTCCAAGAGCGTCTGGGAGAGCCCAAAATGACCTCCAAGATGGCTCAAGATATCCCAAGATGTCTCATAATGGCTTCCTCTGTGTGCTGCCCACTTCTCTGATCGAGGCAATTCCTCTGGGCATCGTTTCTGGATGGGCTGGTGGGGATTCGCGAAGCGACAACAATTTCCATTGAAGGAACTGCCTCGTTGGAAGACAACTGTTTGAAGACCTTGAAGCATGCCAACACATTGTCCTTGGGATTTCCAGGCCACGGGTCAACCTGACTGATGCGTCCTGACCATCTGGAATCGTGCCGGAACGCCACTTTTGGGACTTCAGCACCGCGAGTAAAGATAACTGCTGCTGCCGTGTAAACCTGAATCCTTACAACACATTCCTACTGGTACGTTGATCACGGGAATCAGTGAAGCTCTTGCGTCTCTCAAAAACAAATGTGCGCGGCGCTAAGGCGAGAACCACATTGTGAAAAACACCTGCCTTCAACCCGCAAAACTCTTGAAATCTTTTGAATCGAATGTGCGCGGCGCTAAGCGAGAGCCACATGTTGAAAACGACCCACCCTCAATCCGTGAAGCTCTTGCAATGTTTGAAAGAATGTGCGCGGCGCTCAAGCGAGAGCCACATTTTGAAAAGGAACCGCCCTCAATCAGTGAATCTCTTACAAGTTCAAAAATGTGCGCGGCGCTAAGGCGAGAACCACATTTTGAAAGCCACCCGCCTTCAATCCGTAAATGTCTTGCAATTGTTTAAATCGAATGTGCGCGGCGCTGAGACGATAATCACATTTCGAAAACGACCCGCCCTCAATCCGTGCAGCTCTTGCAATTAAAAAAACACGGATTTGCGCGGCGCTAAAGCAAGGGCCAGATTTTGAAAACCCCTCCATCCGTGAAGCTGTTGTCATCTTTTACCTTCATAATCATCAATGGTGAGGAAGTCTCAGGCGAAACGCCCGGCCCGCCCTAACAAGTGGCCTCGGGGTGCGACAAGGAAAAAATAGGTGTAAGGAAAATCCACGACCCTGTCGGCGTGTGCGGAAGGCTTGTCCGTTCAAATCGTCATCTCCGTCATTCGTTGGTCGTCGTCTTTGTAGTCCGCTTTCCCTGCCTCCCCCTTTCCCTGGGCTCGTCGAAGCTCCCCCCTTTCCCAGGGACCACCTCAGCACGCCAACCAAAGCGAAGTTTAGTAACGCCGTAATTGAGTCGAAAGGAAGCCCCTTCCCTTCGATCCCTCCCCCGCCGGTGTGGGGGGTCCCCGCCAGGGGGTCCCGGGGGGGGTGTCAGATACGACGGCCCCCCCGGGGAGTCCTGGAGCCTCAAGAAGCCCCAAGACGGGCGGCCAAGAGTGCCCCAAGAGGCCCCAAAGACAGTCCAAGAGAACCCTGGATCGCCGAACGATCTGTCCAAGATGCCTTGACAGAGGCCTCCAGGAGCTTTCGCACGAGATAACGGCCGAAGAGGGCCCCAAGACGGCCCAAGACGCCTCCAAGACGGCCCAAGAGGCCACCAATATTGCCCCAAGACAGCCCATGAGAGCCCCAAACTGCCGAGGAGGCCTTGTCTCGAGACGGCGCAAGCGGAGCCCTGGACGGCCCAAGACGGCCTGAAGAGCCTCAGGCTGTCCCAAGAAAGCTTCTGGCCTCCTCATCTTACTCCTCCTCCTATTCCTCCTCCTCCTCCTCCTCCTCCTCCTCCTCCTCCTCCTCCCCCTCTCCCCTCTGCTCCCCCTCCTCTTCCTCCTCCTCCTCCTCCTCCCCCTCCCCTCTGCTCCCCCTCCTCCTCCCTCATCCACCTCCTCCATCCTTCCTCCACCTCCCACTCATCCTCCTCCCCCTGCCGCCCCCTCGTTTTCATCTTTGTCGTTCTCAGGGTCGGCGGCACTGGCCTTTAGGCCTTCGCAATAAATGGTCGCAGGATGAGGAAGAAGGAGGAGGAGGAGGAGGAGGATAGGAGGAGGAGGAGGAGGAGGAGGAGGAGGAGGAGGAGGAGGAGGAGGAGGTGGAGGAGGAGGAGGAGGAGGAGGAGGAGGAGGAGGAGGAGGAGGAGGAGGAGGTGGAGGAGAAGGGGGGAGTCGAGGAACTCCTGGGTATGCCCAGTCAGTCTAAAAACCTTATCCGGCAGACCCCTTCCGTCTGAGAGCGGCCGCTGTGTCAAGCAGCTGGCCACCTACGGGGGGTCGCCCCATTTGAGGGGCGGTGGAGGTGTCTACCGGCTCGGGCGGCAAGGGAGACCCGCGCGCGCCGTTGGGGGGTGAGGCGGAAGGTAGGAGGCGGAGGAGGAGTGAGGATATGTGGAGGGAAGAGCGGTGGAGGAGGAGGTGGAGGGGGACGGTGGAGGAGGAGGAGGATGGTATGAGGAGGAGACGGTGGTGGAGGAAGGAGGGAGAGGAGGAGGAGGAGGAGGAGAAGGAGGAGGAGGAGGTGGAAGAGGAGGAGGAGGGAGGTGAGGAGGATGAGGGGAAGACCTCATCCTCCACTTCCTCCTCCTCCTCCTCCTCCTCCTCCTCCTCCATCTCTCTTCTATATAGATGACCACTCCCTGTCGCACCCCGAAGCCAATCGAAAGGGCGAGCTGGGCGTTTCGCCTAATACTTCCTGACCGTATTTAAGCATAAAGCTTGAGATTTGGAACGGTTTCACGGATGGAGGGCTGTCCGCTCTCAAAATGTGGCTCTCGGGCTAGCGCCGCTCGTCTTCAACAGCGTGCAAGCGTTTCACGGATGAAGGGCGGCCGGCTTTCAAAATGTGGCTCTCGCCGTGGCGTCGCGCACATTAGTCTGAAGAGTTTGCAGCAGTTCCAAAGATTCTCATGGCTAACGTTCCAGAATGATTTGTTGGCACGGAGTGGGAGTGTCAGGGCGCAACAAATCACGGTGATTCGCGGTGTTGCAACCCAGGACATGTGTTCTGGCACGCGTCAAGGTGTTCATGACGCAACAATAAAGTGATTCGCGGCACTGAAGTCCCAATGATGGTGCTCTGGCGCACTTCCGGGTTTTCAGACGGTTGTCTTCCAACGGGGTACTTCACTCAGTTCGAAGGGGAATCCTTGCATGAAACCTATGAAGAGGGAACTTTGAGGGAGAGTTTATTGCACTATCGTCGAGGGGTCTTGGGTTTACACTGGTCCTCCTCCTTCCTCCTCCTCTGCCCCCTCCTCCCCCCAGCGCGCGCGGGTCTCTCCCGCCGCCCAAGCACAATGGTCGCTAGCCAGCAGACACCTCCACCGCCCCGAAAATGGGGTATTCCTCCTTCTCGGCGATCCTGCTCGGCTTTCTTCTTCTTCTTCTTCTTCCTCCTCCTCCTCCTCCTCTGCAATTCGCCTCCTCCTCCTCCTCCTCCTCCTCCTCCTCGTCTTCCCCCTCCTCCTCCTCCTCCTCCTCCTCCTTCTCCTCGGCAATCCTGCTCGGCATTCCTCCTCCTCCTCCTCCTCCTCGGCACTCCTGCTCGGCATTTCCTCTACTCGGCATTCCTCCTCCTCCTCGTCATTACCTCTTCGGCATCCCCCTACTCCTCTCATCCTCCTCATTCCTTCCCTCCTCCTCTGCTATCGCCCTTTTCTCCTGTCGTCTCCCTCCTCCCTCCCACCCTTGTGCCTTTCCTCGCTCTTCCTCACCTTTCTCCTTCTCCTCCTCCTCCTTGCCCTCCACCTTCTTCCTCCTTCCTCCTCCTGATCCTTCCCCCTCCTCCGCCTCCTCCTCCTCCTTCTTCTGCTCCTCCTTTTTCCCGACCGCCTTCTCACTCCCCGTCGCTTTTCACTGCTTGCTCAAATCTTCTTGGGTATCGTGCCACACTCCAGGCTTGTCCTATTTACTCCGCGACGTCACCTCCCAAAGTTGCGCAGGCCGTTCAACAAGTTCCCTGTCTTGGTCAGCAGTCGGTATGGCAAAGACGGGCTCCACGGCTGAGCCTGCAGAACCGCAATCCTCCTCCTCCTCCTCCTCCTCCTCCTCCTCCTCCTCCTCTCCCTCCTTCTCCATTCCTGCCCCTGATCAATAACTCCTCCCTGGCGCGCCCCGCGACTGGTCGAAAGGGCGGGCCGGGCGTTGCCTTCCTCACCATTTGTGATCTGGACGATTAGGAATTGTCAGCAATTTCGTGAATGGAGGGCGGGTGGTTTTCAAAATTTGGCTCTCGCCTTAGCGGCGCGCACATTCGTTTAAAAAATGTGCCAGAATTTCACGGATTGAGGGCAGGTCGTTTTCAAAATGTGGCTCTCGCCTTCGCACCGCGCGCATTCGTTTTAAACCTGTGCAAGAATTTCACGGATTGGGGGTGTGTTGTTCTCCAAACGAGGCTTTCGCTTCAGCGACGCGTGCATTCGCTTTCAGAACTTGCAAGGGTTTCACGGATTGAGGGCGGTTGCTTTTCAGCATGTGGCTCTCGCCTTAGCGCCGCGCACATTCCTTTAAATCGTTGCAAGGAAACTCGCTGATGTTCTGGGGTGTTTCAGGATTGTCAGGGCGCAGCAGTGACGTCAATTCGCGGTGTTGAAGTCCCAGGAATGGTGTTCTGGTGCGATTCAGGATCCCCAAGATGTTTCGGCGCGCTTCAGGATTTTCACACGGCTGTCCCCCAACGAGGCATTTCCTTCAGTGGAAGTTAACCCTTCTAGGGGCCTGTGAAGAGGGAGCTTGGAGAGAGGGCGCATTCCAACATCGTTGATGAGTCTTGGGTTGCGTTCCTCCTCCTCCTCCTCCTTCTCTTTTTGCCTCTGCGGCTCCCTGGGGCGCGCGCGACCTCTTCCTCCTCCTCCTCCTCCTCCTCCTCCTCCTCCTCCTCCTCCTCTTCCTCTCTTCCTCTCTTCCTCCTCCTCCACCTCCTCCCTCCTCCTCCTCCTCCTCCTCCTCCTCCTCCTCCTCCTCTCCCTCTCCTCCTGCTACTGCTCCGCCCGCCCTGCTCCCCCTCCAACCTCAAGTCCTCGTGGCCCTGACCTCCCCCGCTCCCGCCCCTTCCCCTCCCGCGGTCCGGTGCTGGGTCCGAGAGATCCGGCGTCGCGAACAAAATCGCAACACAGGGGGGAAATCACGACCGGAGACCCAGACCCCATCTTTCTGCAGAACTCGTCGAGCTGCGCATGGCCCCGGGGCCCGAAGCCTGGCGAAAACGCCTGGTGTGAAAAAGCAGCAACCCACGGATCTCAGGGGCCCCCTTCCCGCCGCCCCCTCCCCTTGCTCCTCTGCTCCTCCCGACGAGGGGGGCTTCACCGACCCGTAGCCTCGGGTATGGGTAGCCCGTAGCCGATCCCGTAGAGAATGCCGAAGATACCGCCCAGGCCGCCAGTGGTGCCCACCTCCTTCGGGAGGCGCGCGGCGCGCGTCCGGAGCTCAAGGCGGGGCAGGAGCAAAGGCGTGCCACCGCAAGGGCGAGGGCACCAGGGGTCCCTCCCCTCCCTTCCCTCCCCTCCCTTCCCTTCCCCCCATCCTCTGCTTGCTCCTCCCCTTCCCCTTCCCCCCCTTCCCTCCCTCCCTGCTTCCCATCATGTGCCTTCCAGGCATACGTGTCAATTCATGGTGAGGGTGCAGCAGGAGGAGGAGGAGTGGGGGGAATGGAGGGAGGGAGGGAGGGAGGGAGAAATGATGACGATGAAGATGACGATGAGGATAAGAAAGAGGAACAGGAAGAGGAAGAGGAGGAGGAGGAGGCGGAGGAGGCGGAGGAGGAGGAGGAGAAGGAGGAGCAGGAGCAGGAGCAGGAGTAGGAACAGGACAAGAGGAGAAGGAGGAGGAGGAGGAGGAGGAGGAGGAGGAGGAGGAGGAGGAGGAGTAGGAGGAGGAGGAGAAGGAGGAAGAGAAGAAACCCGAGGGTGCGAACGATTCTGCTGCCCCCCCCGGTCCTTGTCCATGACGTAACCGATCGTCATCTTCGTCACCTCTCCCGCCGCATTGAATGTCAAGGAGCTCGTCTGCGGAGGAGACTCGAAGCTCCTCCGGGTGGCTGGCAGGCCCCCGGCGAGCGTCCCCGTCATGGTTCCGCGCCCCCGCGACGTGAACCTGTGGGACAGAAACGAGGAGGTGGAGAGAGGAAGAGGGAGGAAGGATGCATGCTGGCAACGAGGAGCAGCACACGGAGTCAGGGAAGGGGTGGAGAGGGGAGGGAGGGACGGAGAGAGGAGGGAGACAGGAGGAGGAGGAGGCGGAGGAAGAAAGAGGAGTAGGAGAGGCGGAGAGGAGTAGAGAGAGGAGGCGGAGCGTAGGAGGCGTAGGAGGAGGGAGGAGAGGAGGAGGAGGAGGAGGAGAAGGAGGCGGAGGAGGAGAAGGAGGAGAGGAGGAGGAGGAGGAGGAGGAGGAGGAGGAGGAGGAGGAGTATGGCAGGAGGAGGAGGAGGAGGATCAGGAGGAGGAGGAGGAGGAGGAGGAGGAGGAGGAGGAGGAGGAGGAAGAGGTGGAGGAGGAGGAGGAGGAGAGGAGGAGGAGGAGGAGGAGGGGGAGGAGGAGGAGGAGGAGGAGGAGGAGGAGGAGGAGGAGGAGGAGGAGGAGGAGCGCACGTTGCCACAGGGGGAAGAGCCAGAGCAAAAATGGTCATGAATGAGAGTGATGGGAAGAGACGCTCAGCCTGCCGCCTGCCCCGAAGGGAGGAGCCGAGGCAGCGGCGGGCCGAGCGGAAGGGCCAGGCCTGCGTGTGCGAGGAGGTGCAGCAGTAGCCCCGGCACGAGCACTGGCCTGTCCAACGCTCGCGACTGGCGCGGCGTGGCGAGTACGCAGAGTAGCACTGTTGTTACCTGCTCGGGTGGGAGCCTGCTGGAGCCCGAATCGGAATCTGTGCTGCATATGGATGGCGATCCCGGTTGATTCGCGCGAGCGAGGCTGACGGAGTCATACTCCCTCGCTGCATTATGTGCTGAGTCGGAGCCGATGTCCAGTCGCATGGTGGGATCGCTGGGAATGATAACACGGGGGATGGCGAGGAGGTGCGCAAGGCGAGGGCAGTCAAGGTAGTGTTCTATGGAAGATGGATCCCGAACGTCGATGCCAAGACAATCGTCCGAGCACCCAGACCTGCAAAACTTAGGTGTGAGGATCCCTACGCGAGCAGAAGTGATCCAGCCTCCAGCGATTGCCTTGAAATGCTGCCAAATTCGGGAGCGGGCAAGGTGCTGGAGGGTGTCTCTGAGCCTACCCCATCGCTGTTCTGTTTCAGGGCGCCCAACTTCGGCACGCCGTGGGGACCACTGTCTGAATCTTCGAACAATAAAATCGGGAATAGCATCAGGGCAGCAAGAGGGGCAAAAAGAGTGGAGGAAGATGGTTTGGGGGCTCGGTTCACCCGTGTTCTGCTCCGCGGGGAAGTCGCTGCAGCAGTGACCAGCTGGATGGCCGTCCTCGGGATCCTACCTCCGGCGGCCGGGGGATCGAATGAAATAGCTTGACGCCGCTTCCAGAATCGCGGTGACCATTCCTGACAAGCAACATCGTCAATGTATCCGTGGTTGTGCGCAACCGTCCGAAGCCGTCCGAAGCCTCTCCCCCCAGGCCCGTCATCTCCCAAACGTGAACAGACTAGCACGCCATGCGTTGGCCAAACGCGTGAGGTCGAGAGGCAACACAGCTGAGGGCATCCACCCACCAGCTCCGAGCAACTCAGCAGCACGAAGCGAATTATGCGGGATCTTGAACAATGCATGCAGTGCATGACCTTCTCGGGCAAGGGGTCGAAGGTCAGGGGGGGAAATCTGGGGAATGCACGAGAGACGAACCATATTCCCAATCTATAAGATCGAACTGAAGCCTCCGCTGGGGTCTTGGACAAAACAACCTCCGGTCATCGCGACCACCAGTTTTGCCCAGGGCCCGTCCACTGGATGGCGAAGACCGCGTGCGTGCCAATCATCGCTCCCGACCCCTGAACCTTTTTTGTCGCTCCTTCGATCCTGAGCCTCTGCCATCCTGGCGCATGGCGGGCGAGCGCAGCCCGAGCCCGGGCGCGCGTTTGCTCGTCCCACGGCGCCCACTGGGGAACGGACCTGCACTTCGCAGGCTGTAGCTGAAGCGCCGCTAGCGCCTCAGCTTGTCGAAAGGTGGCGTGAAGAGGAAAAGGTAGAGCTGTCCGAAACAACGTCGCGCACGTCATCAGCGCACCCCCCAAGGGTCCGTCACACAAGCACCTGGCCCAGCGATCGACCCCCCAAACCCAGAGACTCCCCGACAGAGGATACTATCCTGTGACGCCTGACGTGACGGAAATAATTCCGACGGTAGGACCCCGCAGGAGAATCACCCAAACTAATCTGGAAATAAATATCATCGTCGTCTTTGTGAGTGCAGGGGCTCTTTCCCGCGTCCTCATCGCCCTTTTCCTTTTCCCCTTGGCGGATTCCATTTTCCTGCGAGGAGGAGCATGATGATGATGATGAGGAGGAGGAGGAGTAGGAGGAGGAGGAGGAGGAGGAAGGAATATGACGGATGAGAAGAGAGGAAGAACGGTGAAGGAAGAGTAGGACACCGCAGGAGGAGAAGGATGAGGAGGAGGAGGCGGGGAGGAGGTTGAGAGTAAGGAGGGGTGAGGGGGCGTGAGTGGTGTGCGTCACGAGCGTCTCCCAGAACCAAACTCGGTTCGGCTCGAAAGGGTCGGTGCGGAAGTCGTACTGCTGCGGATTGAGGTCAGGCACGGCGTCGAGTATGCTGAACTAGCCCAGGGCCGCGATCCTCCTCCTCCTCCTCCTCCACCTTCTCCTCCCACTGCTGTTTTTTCTTTTCCCTCGTTCTCGTTCTCGCTTTAAATCTCGTTCCCGTCGCCGTCCCCCAGAGGAGGAGGAGGAGGAGGAAGAGGAGGAGGAGGAGGATGAGGAGGAGGAGGCGGAGGAGGAGGAGGAGGAGGAGGAGGAGGAGGAGGGGGACAAGAAGGAGGAGGATCCTCCTGCTGCTGCTGCTGCTCCTCCTACTCTACTCCTTCACCTCCCTCGCCTCCGTCTTCGCCCATTCTGCTGCCGCTGATCCCCGTCATTCTTCTCCTACTGCCCCTTCTCCTCCTCCTCCTCCTCCTCCTTCTCCTCATCCTCCTGCTGATCCTCCCTCCCTCCATCTTTCCCTCCCTCCCCCTCTCCGTCTTTCCCTCCTACTGCCCCTCCTTCCTCCCTCCCTCTTTCCTCCTCCTCCTCCTCCCTTCCTCCCTACTTCTTTCCCTCCTACTGCCCCTCCTCCTCCCTCCCTCCCCCTTTCCCTTTCCCTTTCCCTTTCCCTTTCCCTCCCTTCCTCCCCCCGTGAGATCAATCGTTACACATCGCGAGAAATCGCGACCGGAGCCCCACATCCCACCTCTCTGTGGCATGTTTCGAGCCTTCTTCTCCTCCTCCTCCTCCTCCTCCTCCTCCTCCTCCTCCTCCTCCTCCTCCCTTCCCTCTGGGGCCACCTGGCCCAAGGCCGTGGTCAGCTGGTCGCCCGTGAGGCCGTCGCCCAAGGCTGGCACCACGGGGGCCACGAAGCGGAAGTCCGAGGCCATGCGCCTCCGCCATTCGGGTGGATGATGGTGGTGAGGAGGAGGAGGAGGAGGAGGAGGAGGAGGAGGAGGAGGAGGAGGAGGGACTGGAGGAGAACAACGAACAGGATAACGGGCGAGAGGAGGAGGACGACGAGGAGGAAGAAGAGGAGCAAGAGGAGGAGGAGGACGAGGATGAAGAGGGGCAAGATGATGATGATGATGAGGAGGAGGAGGAGGAGGAGGAGGGGGAGGAAGCCCCTGGGGCTCAGACGTTTGCCCGAGGCGGGGCCAGTTGCTTGCACTTGCGGGCCGCTTTGCCTCCCCACCTTGCCTCCCCGCGAAGCAACCGGCCTCGGCCGCCAGGCTCCCGTGGGCCATTCGTGCGCCGGACTGTGGCCGGCAGGGCGCTGTCGAGCTGTGCACTTTCGCGGACAAACTCGTCGTGCACGTGTGCCTGCTCCCCGTCTGGGCGCCGACTGTGCGGAGCGGCCTCCTCACCAGCTTGCTCCAGTCGGTGCACATCGACACCGACCACGTCAATGTCGTGGATCACGGGCACCAGAACTCCAGAGGCAAGTCTCGCGTCCAGGTCATCGTGAGAAGCCTTCCAGTACGTCTGGGGGGGCGTCTCGCTGCGGCGCTGACCGCGAGCCTGGCGAGATCGGAGCGCCTTGACCTGAAGCCCGAGATGGCGGCTGAGGAGGGTGAGTGAGTGAGTGAGCGGCCTAAAGCCAGTCGCCGTCGGCCCCGCGTCGGGGCGCGCGGCAGCCTGTTCAGCCCCCGAGCGAGGCGAGGTAGGCAACACCTGGTGGGGGCGTGGAAGGCGCAGTAAGGAGGCCCACTGCACCGTGGCTGCCCTCAATCCCGCCGCCCTCAGACGGCGGACCCACGAGGGAGACCTCCTCAAACTGCGCCTCGAAGATGAGCTGCAGCACGAACGAGGAAGTCCCCGCGCTCGCAGAGCTTGATGCCCTTCTCCTCGAGGGCGCCCTTCACCTGGCACACCACCAAGTCGCCCTTGACGACGTCGGCATACCGTGGCGCCCCTGGCTGCCCCGAAGACCTGCCCTTGCCCTTGCCCTGCTTGGGGGCTCCACTGCCACGGTCACGGGCACGCTTCTTGGGGATGTACTCCGCCTCGAGGTCGATGCCATTGGCCTGCTCCTCGAACGGGTTGCTCTCCTCGATCTTCTTGCTATCCTCGGGATCCGTGCTCTTCCCGTGGACGATCTGGACAATCGAGTGTCCGTCTGAAGGCGAGCTGCTGCTACGCGATGCTCACGTGCCATCTGCTCCTTCATGAAGATCTGCTCGTTCAGCGCCCTCAGCTTCACGAAGGCGTCGGACCGCGCGTCGCTCTTGCACGGGTCGGACTCCTCTATAAGACGGCCTCTTAGGCCGCTCACGGAGCCCTCGTTGCCGATGCCGAGCCCGCCCGCAGGCTGCGGGCTCCCAAGCTCGGAGAACTTGCCGACGTAGGGGTCCGCTCCGCACTCAGGCTCTGAACCTCCACCACCAGCGCTTGCAGGAAGGGACTCACTGTTCATGAGCCTGAGCTCCTCGTCGCCGCCGAACGCGTTGCCGAAGAGGTCGAAAATGCCGTCGTCGCCGTCGAGTGGGGCCTCTTGCCCAACACTGCCAGCTGCAACTTCATCACCATCACATGCATCGAAACTGAGACCACTTCCAGGAGCGCCCAACGTTTCGTCGAACGCGCTCTTGCAGAGGCCTGTCTCGTGCCACCAGCCGCCTAGCGCATCTGAGCACCACTCGGGCTCGGTATCGTCTAAGTCCATGTCGTAGGCCGCGACTAGAACCACCCTGGAGGGCGGGCTGCGTCGCCACGGTGCCCTCGCCAAGCTCATGTCCCTGGCCTTCTTGTCCTTTTTCTCCTTCTTCTTCTTCTGCTTCACCTTCTCCTCGCGCTTGAGCTCGCGCTGCCGCTTCAGCTCCATGCGGTCCTCCAGCTCCTGCTGCTCCTCCTGCTTCTTTGCCTCGCTGCTTGGCGCAGGCGGCGGCACTCGCCGTGCACCAGAACACCGAGGAGGCGTGGCTGCAGTTTGCCATGCTGCCCAAGTGCGTCCTCCGCCCGCACACGCGAGGAGGCCGCGGCAGCAGGGGCGCGGCGGAAGCTCTGACCAAGAACCTCTGCCAGCGCTGGCTGGAGGGAGAGCGCGCTTCGCTTTGGGAAGAGACCGCGGACCGACGAGCCACTGCAAAACCCTCCCGCGCAGCCCAGAGAGCGCAGCGCTGCCTGGAACTTTCGGCGGACGCGCAGTACTCCAAGAGCTGCTCGGCGCTCACCAGCGAGCCTCCAGCGGAGGTCACCGCAGCAGTGCTGGAGCAGATGCGTCTGAAGCACCCGCGCAGCCAGCGACCAGTGGACGCCGCCAGCCTCCCCGCTGTCAGCGCAGCGGCGGCGCCGCAGCTAGACGCCGCCACGCTCGAGCGCGAGGTGCGGGCCTTCCCTCGGGGCTCCGCTCCAGGCCCCTCTGGCCTGCGGCCACAACACCTCAAGGACGCGCTGCAGACGGCGGCCCACCGCGACGAGGTGCTGCAGCAGCTGCTCAGCCTCGCCAACCTCCTCGCGAAGGGTCTAGCCCCCCCCGGCGTGGCGAAGTACCTGGCTGGCGCCTCGCTGGTGGCCCTGCCCAAGAAGGACGGCGGCCTTCGACCAGTGGCGGTGGGGGAAACCGTGCGGCGCCTGGTGGCGAAGTGCCTCTGCAGCCAGGTGTCTGACGCCGCCCGCGACCGCCTCGCCCCCCTGCAGGTTGGCGTCGCCCTCCCGGGCGGCTGCGAGGCCGCGGTTCACGTGTCCCGACAGTGGTTCGCACGCCACGCTGGCAGCAGGCAGAAGGTGTTCGTTAAGCTAGACCTGAGCAACGCTTTCAACGCCCTCGACCGCCAAGCCCTCCTGCAGGCAGTGCACGAGGAGCTGCCCGCGCTAGCGCCCTGGGCTTCCTGGTGCTACCGGGCCCCCTCCCTGCTCTGGCTCGGCCGGCACTCGATCTGCTCGGAATGCGGCGTGCAGCAGGGAGACCCACTGGGGCCGCTGCTCTTCTCCTTGGCGCTGCAGCGCGCTGCTGAGAGGGCCCTCCGCCAGCCCGCCCCCGCGGCCGCGGGCGCCCTGGACCTGACTTTCTTTTTTCTCGACGACGGCGCCCTGGCGGGCGACTGGCAGGCGGTGGCGCGCCTGCTCCACCTGCTGGTGGGAGAGTTGGCGGCCGTGGGACTCCGCTTAAGCACGGGGCCCGGGAAATGCGAGGTGGTCCCCACTGGCGGCGACGACAGCGAAGTGAATCTGCAGGATTTCCCCCCGGGCTTCCGCCTGCGCACGGACGGCTGCTTCGAACTCCTGGGTGCGCCAGTCGGCAGCGACGCCTTCTGCCTCGATCACACGCGGCAGCGAGTCGGCAAGGCCACCGAGCTCCTCGAGGCACTCGGCGCCCTCGAGCACGCCCAGGTTGCGCTCCACCTGCTGCGGCAATGCGCCGGCTTCTGCAGACTCAGCTACTCGGCGCGGGTTGTCCCGCCCAACGTGCACACGGAAGCGCTCGTCGCGCTTGACAACGCAGTGCGCGCCAGCCTCGAGCAGCTGAGCAGCAGCTCCCCCACGGACGACTCCTGGGCGCAGGCGCAGCTCGCCCTCAAGGCAGGCGGCCTGGGGCTGCGCTCAGCGGAGCGCCACGCGCCCGCCGCCTACCTGGCCTCCCGCGCGGCCTGCTCTGCGCTCTGCCAGCAGCTCTGGGCGGGCTACTCCAACGACGACACTGGCGCCGACGACGCCCTGGGCGCTGCCGCGGCGGCCTACAACGCCCGGCTACCACAGGCAGACAGGATTGCCTTCGACGCCAGCCAGCACGGTGACCAGCGGGGGCTCTCTGACAGGCTGGACAAGGCCGCCAAGGCCGAACTCTGGGAGCGCGCTTGCCCCGCCACCAGGGCCCACCTCTCGCTGGTTAGCGCTCCCGGCGCCAGCGGCTGGCTGCAGGCGCGGCCCTGCGCTGAGGTCGGCACGGAGTTCCCGCACAGCTTGATGCAGATCGCTCTGCAGAGGCGCCTGCGGGTGCAGCTGGCGGACGCCGAGACCTTCTGCCCGGCCTGCGACGGCATCCTCGACGTCTACGGCGACCACGCGCTGGTCTGCCCTTGCCGAGGGGACCGGGTCAAGCGGCACAACGCCCTACGAGACCAGGCCTTCTTCGCCGCGCAGGCCGCGGGGTTCCCGGGCTCCGAGCTCGAGCGGCCCGGCCTGCTGCAGCCTCGCGCGAGGGGCGAGGGCCCGCCGGGGACGGAGGAGAACGGCGGCGAGCTCGACGACGGCGGCCGGCGCCCGGCGGATGTGTATATTCCCCGTTGGCGTAACGGCGCCCCGGCCGCCCTTGACTTCGCGGTCACTTCGGGGCTGCGGGGCGACTTGCTCGCCGCCTCGGCTGCCGCGCCCGGCGCCGCGGCCGAGCGGTACGAGGAGCAAAAACGCCTCTTCCTCGACACCGAGCGCAGCTGCGCCGCCGCCGGGATCACCTTCATTCCCATGGTGGTCGAGGCGCACGGCGGCGGCTGGGGCAGGGAGGCGCGACGCGCCCTGGCCGTCCTGGCCAAGCGCGCGGCGGACGCCACGGGGGACGACCCCTCGCAGGTGGCGGCGGAGCACGCCCAGCGACTCTCGCATCTCCTCCAGAAGGAGAATGCGCGGGCCGTGCTCCGCAGGCTGCAGGCGCCGGTCGGGGCGCCCGCGGCCAGGCTGGCGGCGGCCACGGCGGCTAGCGCGGCCGACGCCGCCTGAACCGCCGCCCTCCCCTGAACACGACCACTCCCTCCACTGACCACGACCACCGCCTCCGACGCCCTGCCCCGACGACCCCCCCTGGCCTTGGCCACGACGACGACCACCTCCGTCCGCCCCCTGCTTGCTCTGCACTGCCTCTGCTGCTTCCCTCCCTCCTTCTGGTCAGCGTCTGTTCGGTGTGTTTTTCCTCTTGCCCCTCGTCTTCCTCCTCCTCCTCCTCCTCCTCCTCCTCCTCCCGGGGCTTGGCACCGCCGCCGCCCGTCGGCCAGCCCCGCAACAGGGCGATGGCGGCCTCTGCCTCAGGCGAAGAAGCCCGACGGCAGCCGTCGCCTTTGGGTGCGGAGCCCGCCAGGCCGCGCGGCCAGCATAGGGCCCTCCAGCAAGGCGACCACTTGGGGCGCCGCGCCAAGGAGCGTAGACGGTCTCTTTGCCTCCTTGCTGGCCTCCAGCGCACGAAGGAAGATCTCCCGCGCCGACGCGCCAGCGGATGAGGCCGCGCCCGACGACGGCGGACCCTGGCGCGGGCTGGTCCACCAGCTGCGCCTCACCACCGGCGACTCGAAGCCATCCTCTATGGCAAAGAAGAGCTCCGGAGCCCGTGGGGGCTTGACCGTCGGCCGCGCGCGCCCCTTGGGCTTGGGCGCCTCCGTCGGCTTCGGCCTTGTCCCCACCTCCTCGGGCGCCGGTGAACGCCATGCCCCAGGCGGGGGCTCGGGAGGTGGGCCCGTGCGCTGCAACAGTCTCCAGCGCCGACGAGATGACCGCCTTGACCGTGTTGTTCTGCCATGTCATGTGGCCCGCCGTGAGGATGCCCTTGCGAAGTACCTCACAGCAAGCTGAGCCGCGCGGGCGGCACCCGCGATGGCGCCCTCGCGGCGGCGCGGCCGCCGCGCCGAGGGCGGGGGGGGCGCCAGGCTCAGCCGCAAGGGCTCGGCGGCTGAGGAGGAGGAGGAGCAGGAGCAGGAGGAGGAGGAGGAGGAGGAGGAGGAGGAGGTCGAAAAGGAGGAGGAGGAGGAGGAGGAGGAGGGGGAGGAGGAGGAGAAGAGGAGGAGGAGGAGGAGGAGAAGGAGGAGGAGGAGGAGGAGGAGGAGGGAGGGGGAGGAGGAGGAGGGAGGAGGAGGAGGAAAAGGAGGGGGAGGAGGAGGAGGAGGAGGAGGAGGAGGAGGAGGAGGAGGAGGAGGAGGAGGAGGAGGAGGCGCCAGGCGAGAGCAAGGGGGCTGGTTCGTGCCCGGCGGCGGCGGAGAGGGAGCCGCGCGCCGTGGACGAGCAAGCTGTTGAGAAGGAAAGGCTCCAGCAGCACGTTGCGGCCGCAGCAACCCAGCAGCCAGAGGAGAAGCGCCCATTCGCTCCAGGCATGGCGGCCCGCCTTATTGGCCTCAAGCCCAGGCCATCACTGGATGGACGCGAAGGCACCCGAAGCTTCTACGGCGAGGCTGCTGGCCGCCAGGCCTCCGAAGCGGGCGCGGAGGCCATTCGTGTCAAGGCGACATGTCTTGGACCGATGGGGGCCCGCACCAAGAAGGCGCCCGGCTTCGCATTTCAACGGGCCGCTTTCAAGTACCCAAATCGGGACCCAGTGGCCACACAGGCCAAATTTTCCAGCTGTTGTGCGACCTCGCTGCCAAGGAAGGCCAGCCTGGGGTGGCCGCATTTCTGGCTGCTGCTCTTTGACGACGAAGACGGCTTTGACAACATGTACGGCGAGACTGCTGCTAAGAGCCCCGAGATCGTGTACCAGTGAGTGGCCGCTCAGCGCTTATGCACCATGTGCTCTTGTTCCTTTCGCACCTCGCCCTCCTCTCGCCCCCCCCGTCTATTGGGGTTGCGCCCACAGCGGAGGCTGCGTCTTTCAGGGATGCGTCACATGTAGGCTGCGTCGCTCGCTCCTTCGGGCGAGTGCAGTGCTTCTCGTTTCCTCGGGCGGGAACCGACGTCGAGCTCATCTGCCTTTTCCTTGCATGATGTGGACACCTCAGGCGGTGGTCTTCAGGGCTGTAGGAGGGAGGATAACCTTGAAATCCGCTCAGCGCTAAGGATAATGAGAAGGAGGAGGAGGAATAGGAGGAGGAGGACGAGGAAGAGCAAACGGAGGAGGAGCAGGAGGAGGAGCAATAGGAGGAGAGGGAGGAGGAGCAGGAGGAGGAGGAGGAGGAGGCACAGCGTCACTGTCAGGATGATGCTGATGCTGATGATGATGGTGGTGGTGATGATGATGATGATGAGGATGCTGCTGCTGCTGATGATGATGCTGATTAGTTTGATGCTGCTGATGATACTGATGATGATGATGATGATGATGATGATGATGATGATGAGGAACAGCAAGAGGAGGAGGCGGAGGGGGAGGAGGTGAAGGAGGAGAAGGACCAATGTAAACCCAAGACAACCAACGATGTTGCAATGCAACCTCTCTCCAATTTACCTCTCTTAAGGTCCCCCTCCCCCTCCTCCTCCTCCTCCTTCTCATTCCGTCCTCTTCCCCCTCCTCGCTCTCCGCCTCCTCCTCCTCCTCCTCCTCCTCCTTCTGCCCCTTTCCTCCATCTCCTCGCCCTGTTCTCCTCGGTTGTCGCTGACACTTTCTTGAACTGTGCGGCCCCTCCTCCGTTCCACATAGCTGGCTCGAAGGATGGCAAACTTCTATCTACAATAAATGGTTTCCATTGCGGAAAGTGCCCCAGAATCGCGCCTGAAAGCCGCTCCGGGGACTTCAACGCTGCGAAGCAACGTAACTGTTGCGTCCGGGTAACCAGAAATCGTGCAAAAAACATGACTCCAAGGACTTCAACCATACGCGCCTTTCAACCGGTTGTGAACATTTGAAACGGATGTGCGTGGATCCATGGCCAGAAACATAATATGAAAGAAGCCACCCTGCATCATTTAAGCTGTTGGGACATTTTAAAGCGAATATGCGCGGCGCTGATGCGAGAACCACAGTTTGAACAGGAACGGCCCTCCATTTAAGCACTTGCAATTTTAAGCTTCGAGGTAATGCATGGTGAGAAAGTCTCATACCAAACGCATGGCCATCCCCCTTACCGACACGTGGGCTGGTGCGACAGGGACGACTTAGGTATCAGGAAAAAAAGAAAGACGAGGAGGGGGAGGAGGAGGAGGAGGAGGAGGAGGAGGAGGAGGAGGAGGAAAAGGAGGAGGAGGAGGAGGAAGGAGGAGGAGGAGGAGGAGGAGAGGAGGAAGGAGGAGGAGGAGGGAAAAGGGGGAGGAGGAGGAGAAGGAGGAGGAGGAGGAGGAGGAGGAGGAGGAGGAGGAGGAGGAGGAGGAGGAGAGGATCCTCTGGCGCTCCTGCTCTACTAGGGAGGCCATGCTGCATCGAGAGCCGCGGGCCTCCAGCCACTGAGGAGAAGGAAGGAAGGACGAAGGACGAGGAGAAGGCCAGAAGGACGAGGAAAACACGAGGAAGGACTAAGGACGAGGAGAAAGCCAAAAGGACGAGGAAAACACGAGGAATAACTAAGGATGAGGAGAAGGCCAGAAAGACGAGGAAAGCACGAGGAAGGACTCAGGACGAGGAGAAGGCCAAAAGGACGAGGACAGCACGAGGAAGGACTAAGGACGAGGAGAAGGCCAGAAGGACGAGGAGAGCACGAGGAAAGACTACGGACGAGGAGAAGGACAGAAGGACGAGGAAACACGAGGAGAAGGCGTCGTAAGAACAATCACGGCGGACACTGTTTGGTGGGATTTTTCGGCCTGCGGGTGCCCTTGCTGGGCCCCGAGGCCGTCAAGACACGGCTCGGATGAAAAGCTGGCCCCTCGGGAAGGGCTCCAGACCTCTGGGGAGCCACGTTGCGAACATAAGCCGCGACGTCGGAAGTCTGGGGAGGCTGGGCGAGGAAGACGAGGAAGAGGAGGACGAGGACAAGCCAGCCACAGAACCGCGAAACTGGCAGACCAGTAGCAACATCGTCGTGGATTGGTTCCCACACGGCGGGTTCCGGAAACCCTCGATCTACCCAAAAATTACACCAAAGAAAAGCCCCAATCAATGAACGGTTTTCGCAGAGGAGATCGACAAGGAACCCGGGAGCCAGGAAACCCAAAACCCACCGAAATCGGCCCGGAACCAATAACCGAGAACCCGGGAACCCGGAACCGGGAACCTGGGAACCCACCCGGCTACCAAAATCGGCGGGAAACTTTGCCAAATCTTTCAACTTCCGCTAGGACCCCTTCAGTGCACGCACTGATTAGGGAATGTCGTCCCTTGGGGAAGCAACTCTTACTTCTGCTGGCCTCGCTGCACTTCTGCCTCCCTCCGCCAGCCGTCCCCCAAAGAGAAGAGATGCCATCCCCTTCGATCCTCGAAGCGTGGCCAGGGCGGCAAGCAAACCTCCAAACGCGCCCCAAGCTCTGAGCAAACGACTCGTGCTTTGATTGCTGCTCGGCATGCTCGCCTCTTGACGTCGGCGGGGTCCGAGAAGAGCCTCGCGACGAACCCCTTGGCGAGCTGGACCAGGCCCTCCTCCGGAATCGGGAACCGGTTCTGCTCGCGGAGTGCCTCTTCGTCCACGAACCTTGGGAAGAGTGCGGGGGCGGGGCGGGGCAGAGGGGGCAGGAGGGGGGCGCGGAGGAGAGGGGAGAGGAGGAGCGTCGGAAGGGGGGCAGGGGAGTGGCCAGAGAAACGTGGGGAATGGAGGGGGCTGGGGGCTGGAAGAGAGGGGGGCGGTAGGAGGAGGAGGAGGAGGAGGAGGAGCGAGGAGGAGGAGGAGGAGGAGGAGGAGGAGGAGGAGGAGGAGGTGGAGGAGGAGGAGGAGGAGGAGGAGGAGGAGGAGGAGGAGGAGGAGGAGGAGGAGGAGGAGGAGGAGGAGGAGGAGGAGGAGGAGGAGGAGGGAGGAGGGAGGAGCAGGAGCAGGAGGAGGAGGAGGAGGAGGAGGAGGAGGAGGAGGAGGGAGGAGGAGGAGGAGGAGGAGGAGGAGGAGGAGGAGGAGGAGGAGGACGAGAAAGGCGAGAAAGGTGGGGATGTGGGAGGTGGAGAGGGGCTGAGGGCCGTCTCCTTTTTGCCCTCCCTGCCAAGAGCCCGGGGTCGACGATGGGAGCGTCAGGTATCAAGTCCGGCCGCACCTCAACCCATCTCCCTCTTCTCCTGCCCCTGTCCCCCCCGCCCTGCCTTCTCCCTCGCCCTCCCCCGCCTCTTCCGTCCTCCTCTCTTCGCCTGCTTCAGCTCCTGCTCCTCCTGCTATGGCTCTTGCCCCCCTGCTGTTCCTGCAGCCGCTGCGCCTGCTCGTCGTCGTCATCTTCGTCGTCGTCGTCGTCGTCGTCGTCGCCGACGCCGCCGCCGCCGTCGCCGTCACCGTCGTCACCGTTCGAGCGGACGAGCTGGGCGGCTCGCGAAGGGCGTCCCGCCGGGCGCGGTCGAGGGGATGCAAGCCCATCTTCGCAGGGGGCGCCGCCCGCGAGCGTTAAGGAGGAACTCGTCTGGCCACCCTCGCAGCACAAGGGTGGGCCTTGTGCCCTGGACTCGGCGTCAAGGAATCGGTGCGTCTCCTAGCCCCCCCTCCCCGGGGTGCCATGGCAATCCAAGCAGTCGCCGCCAGGCGCCCTCGTCCTGTCGGCACCGCTGCGTGGTAGGTATGCCCAGAGAGCTGTCGTTGCGACAAGAGCGCAACATCGGGAGAAACCACGACCAGAAGCCCAGAGCCTATATCTTTGCTACAGTTTTTCAGCTGGAGCGATCTGTGATGGTCTCGCGGGGCCCGAAGATGGGTGAAAAAACCCAGCGTGATAAAACTGCAACGCCCGGGTCTTGGGGTCTTCCTCCTCCTCCTTCCTCCTTCCTTCTTCCTCCTCCCTCCTCCTCCTCCTCCTTCCTCCCTCCTCCTCCTCCTCCTCCTCCTCCTTCCTCCTCATCTCATTCCTCTTCCTCCTCCGACGTTCAAGCACGGGTGGCCCAAGACATCGTGCAAATTTTGGTTCAAGTTAGCCATGGGGTGCCCGGCCGATTGCCTTCGCGTGGCGCTGAAGGGACTTCCACCATCACGTAATCTTCCATACATTTTGCTTCTCGCATTTGTCGTAGGTTGTTGGCGTGGCACAGTAAAGTTGGGATAATTAAATGTAATATCCAGCAGTCGTTTTGTCTTCGTGCGTTATGGTGTACGTTCAACTGCTGTTCTTTTGGATCGATCGCACTTGTTGTATTTCAATTCGCGCTGCCACATATTCACAAGTCGTTTGTTATGCTTGATTCATGAAGCAAGCAGTGTTAGCATGCACTGTGGCGGCCAGGCGGGATGTCATCGTCCAGTGGTGGGTGCAGTTGGCCATCAGCTTCAATGCTGGAGTCTGGTCTGGTCCCTTCAGCTTCAGTACAGGTACCCCACACCACCGCAATGAGTGTACTTCTCTTGTCTGTTCCGCGTCCAGCTGGGGCCAGGCACCATCAGCTACACTGCCGGCATCTCCCATCTCAGCTTGGGAAGGGTATTTCAGTTTGTATTTGGTGGTGTTTCCCACTTGGTATTCATTTGCTTGTGGTCCCTGTGGCACTGGGCGTAGTAGGAGGCAAGCAATCGTTCCCTATGTGCTTGGTCAAATGGTGCGCACAGCTCCCAATACCGTGCGTAGTGCCACGCCGTACTATTGAGTTTGTTAGATCGATGTAGACGTGGCGCCGCGGTTTCGCACATGCCTAGCCTTTCTGCGTGGGTTTCATCTTTCATCCTATCGGCTGCGCTTGTCTCATAGAACTCATTTTACGTTCTGTTGGTCACCTTCTCGTGCGGAAAGGGTCCGAGGGACATGACGTTAGCATCTTAGCCAGCAAGGTGAAGGTCTTTCTCAAGTTGCAGAGTTTCATTCTCCAACTGGCAGCGCACCGAAATGTCATCTTCCGCCGTTCGTGGTAGTGGTGGTGAGTATTGCAGTCGCTTGGGCGCTACGTTTCCAAGCGGTCGTCGTCGTCGTCGTCGTCGTCGTCGTCGTCCTCCTCCTCGTCGTCGTCGTCGTCGTCGTCCTCGTCGTCGTCGTCGTCGGCCTTTTCCTCGTCGTCGGCCTCCTCCTCCTCCTCCTCCTCCTCCTCCGCCTCCTCCTCCTCCTCCTCCTGCTGGTCCTCCTCCAAGCCGTGTCGGCGAGCGCTCGAGGCGTCAGTTCCTCCCCCTCTTCCTTCTCCGACGCGCCAGGGAGGCACTCCGAGGCCCGTGCGCCGGGGAACAGGCCCGCGCCCCAGGCCGCCCGCTCGGGCGGCGCCGGCCCCTCCTCGCGAGCGGGCGCGGCGGCGCTCGCCAACGGCGGCGCGGCGGCCGCGCCCTCCTCGGCGGCCGCGCCCTCCTCGGGAGGAGGGTGCCACGATCGCTGGGGGCAACGCCAGGTTACGAGGCAACTGCTGGGAGGTCTTCGTCGGAAGGACTAAAGAGGATTAAGCCCCATTCGGGGGTTGTTACGCCAATTTGGGCCTCGGATTAAGCGGGATTAAGCCGGATTAAACGGACTTGAAGCGGATTAAGCAGGAATAGGCCAGATGAAGCGGGAGTTCGGACCAGGGCAAAGTCAGAATTTGACCTCCCAAGAGTTGCATCCGAAGCTGGGGAGGAAAGCGGCTCAGGGGGGATCGTAAGCTTCGAGGTTCGAAGTTATCCAGCGCTTTCGTTGGTTCTTCGGCTGTTTCCCAGCCTCGGGCTCCGTTCCATCAGCTGCGCCTGGCGGAGAGGCCCCGAGGGTGCCAGAATCGTCCCGAATGGCCGCCGGATGCCCGAGCTATGACCCGAAAACCACTCGGAGACAAGCTCAGGGGGGAATGTATCGACCCCCCGTCACCCATGGATCGCCGATATGGGCCTGATAGCCCCAACCTGCCCAGCAACGTGCGGATTCACTATCGGGGTCCTATCGCCGATCTATTGGCGATGTATCGCCGATTCCAGGTCGATGCGTCCCCCCTATTCCAGTCCCCCCTATCGCTGTCCCTCATGTTTGCGTTTTCCTGCAATCGGGAGTTAGTTTGGATGAAAATTCAAGATCGTACCTTACACACATACACACATTACACATGTGTATGTATGTATGTATGTATGCATGCATGCATGCATGCATGCATGCATGCATGTATGTATGTATGTATGTATGTATATGTATGTATGTGTATGTATGTATGTACGTATGTATGCATGCATGTATGCATGCATGCATGCATGCATGTATGTTTGTATGTATGTATGTACAAACGTACGTATATATCATATGTGATGTATGTATGTATGCATGTATGCATGTGTGCATGCATGCATGCCTGTATGTATGTAATTGTGTATGTACATACATACATATACATATACACATATATATGTATATATATATATATATGTATGTATGCATGCATGTATGCATGTATGTATGCATTGATGTACGCATGTATGTATGGATGTATGCATGCATGTATGTATGTATGTATGCATGTACATGTGTACGTATGCACGTATGTATGTACGTATGTATGTATGTATGTATGTATGTGTATATATGTATGTATGTATGTATGTATGTATGTATGTATGTATGTATGTATGTATGTATGTATGTATGTATGTATGTATGTATGTGTATGTATGCATATATGTATGTATGGATGTATGCATGCATGCATGCATGTATGCATGCATGCATGTATGTATGTGTGTATATATATATATATATATGTGCAACAAATCCCATGCAGCTGCGGAGACATGGAACATTTTCTCGCCAGAGTCTCTGTCTCCCGTTCCGCTGCCAATTCTGGGGTTCAGCTTGAGTCCTCCCAGGACGATTGGGCTACTGATAAATCCAATTCAACGAGATCCGACGCTACGACCAAACATCAGCATCGGGAAAACCTGAACGTGCGCGCGTCGTGACAAAAATCACGGGGGTTCCCACGATGAACCGTGCCTTGTGGGACCGTGCCTTGACCTCGGAATCCCCAACGGCCGCACCGCACGGTCCGTCGCCACGCGGCTTTGGGACCTCGGAGGGACAGAGGGCGAATCCGCTCAAAAGAAATCCCCGGACCGCTCCCGGGGCCCACCTCTTGCAAAATTCCACCCCGGATATGCTCTCGACGGCCCCGGGACCCTGGAACGGCCCCAGGAGACGGGAAATGGCAAAACACCTCGTCGAACCCAGAACCGCCTATCCTCGCTCGCCTCCTCCTGCTGGCTGGAACCGGTGCTGGGCCACCTCAAGCCCCAAGCCTGGCTGAGGGCCTGAGGTCGGGGATCTACTGAACCCGGTCAATCCAAACCCGGGTCAGTCAGGCCTTGGCAGGATCCTGCGCGCTAGCCCGGGTCAATGCGACCCTCGCCCTGCAGGATCCTGCAAGGTCTGGCGCTCTGATTGATCCCCGTGAGCCCCGATGAGATGGCCCCACGCTGGTTCCGGCTGGGCCAGACGGCTCCAAACCAAGACACCCGACGTCATGATTTTCTCACGACGTCCACCCCTAAAGGTCTCGACCCTTTCGGGAGCGGGAAAGAGGGGGGTGTCCAAGAGGGGGGGGCGCAAATCATGACCGGCGGCATGTGCGCGGCCTTGCGGGGGGGCCAGGGACGTAATGAAATAAGAAGAGGCGCCACGAAATCTGGGAAAATATCATGGCCCGCGCCATGATATCCACCCCCCCCTAGTCATCACCCCCCTCTTTTCCGCCCCCGACCCTTTCCTAGACGGCCCCGAGGCCGGGCAAAGGCTCCCAGAGGCCTAACATAGCGGAAAACCTCCCGTCCCCAGACGTCCGGCCGCTCCAATTTTTTCGATGCGTGGCCCCCGGAGGTCCGGACCACTTCTCCAGTCGGGGAGACGTAAGACCCGGGTACGGGGGACTCGGAAATCCCCGACGAGGCCGTCAAAAAAATGACGAGGCCGAGCCTGCATTTTGACGAGGCCTCCCGCTGCAGACATCCCACGAAACTCCTCCTCGTCAAAATCCGAGTCGCGGTCGTCAAAAAACGATGGCGAACCCGAGTCCCGGCAAACCCGGGTCTTACGCTCCCCCGATCCAGGTCCGGATTTTCGTCCCGAATCGTGTTCTGACTCTCCCGCGGCCCGGCGAGGGCCCCCGAAGGCCGAACGAACGAACAAGCCATGCGCCAGTAGGCGCGTGGGCAAAAGCATGCGTCCAGCAAGCTCGACGCGGGATCAAGGAAAATGCCGCGAGCAGCCGGAGAAAGCACAAGAGGTAGAAGAAGAGGAGGAGGAGGAGGAGGAGGAGGAGGAGGAGGAGGAGGAGGAGGAGGAAGAAGGGGCCAGGAGAGCACCATGTACGGTGCTGCGTGCGTTTCCTGCCAGGGGGACCGGGCGCCAAAACCTGCTGTCCCGTCGCGAGTTTCATTGCAACGCGACGGCCCAGAAGTCCGGACCCCTTCCCGGGACGTGGTTTTGTCGTCCGGATCCATGCTTGATGGCCCCCGGGCCCGACCACGGGCCCCTGCCCTGAGATTCTGGCGACTCGATCTTTTCGAGCCGGGCGTTTTTGAAGGGGCCAGAGGACACAATTCCCTATATTTTCCTATATTTTCTGGGTTTTTGTCTTCGCCCCCAATTCCCATATTTTCCCATATTTTCCTGGGAGTCGACGATCAATTGTGTCTGTGTGTTTCTTTCCCTCCTGAGTTTTCGCTGTTTTTTCGGGCCCTGGGACCCTCACGGATCGATCCGGCTCGAAAAAGGACGCAGAACGACGGGGTCTGGGGCTCAGGGCGCGGATCTTCACGATGTTGCAGTTTTTTCGCTACGTCGGACTTCAGGGTCTGGCCGACATCCAGGGAAAACGGATTGAAAAAACCGTATCCTCGGATCTCTGGGGTTCTGGCTGGGCCAGCCGGCTCCGGAGGAAAGCCTGAGAGCCGGCGGCTCTGGAGGATGTATCGGGCATCGCGGCCTTCTCTCAGAGCGTTTCGGACCGCTCTGAGAGCGCTCCAGGACGCTCTGGAATTGATGTATCCTCGTCCTAGCCCCGCCCGACAACGCGAGGAGATCTGGGAACTCCAAGCCTTTGCAAACGGGGCGTTAGCAAACGGGGCGGCAGCTAAGGGGCCTCTTTAAGCGAGAACGGGGTGACAGGGCGTTTGCACCGCACTAGTGCGTGATACATCGGGACGACACAAACGCCGATGCATCATCGTACCTCTGGGCGGGGGGCAATCACCTCGCACTTGTGCGCGGCAAATCAGTTTCTTGAAAACACCACTGAAAAGGCTACCGCCCCGTTTGCCAATGCCCCGTTTGCAAGGGAGGAGGAGAAGAAGGAGAAGGAGGAGGAGGAGGAGGAGGAGGAGGAGGAGGAGGAGGCGGAGAAGGAGGAGGAGGAGGAGAAGGAGGAGCAAATCAGTGTCTTGAAAACACCACTGACAACGCACCGTTTGCCAAGGCCCCGTTTGCAGGGGGCTCGGGAACTGCATCGCCTGGACCTCCGGGCCCGACAACGGGCCCCGCAGGCCGAAACCCAGGACAAACATCCGGATTGAGGAGGGGGGGGAGAAGGAGGCGGAGGAGGAGGAGGAGGAGGAGGATGAGGATGAGGAGGAGGAGGAGGAGAGGAGGAGGAGGAGGAGGAGGCGGATGATGATGAAGATGAGAGAAGATGAGATGAAGATGAAGATGAAGATGAAGATGAAGATGATGATGATGCTGATGATGATGTGATGAGGAGGATGATGATGAGGAGGAGGAGGAGGAGGAGGAGGAGGAGGAGGAGGAGGAGGAGGAGGAGGAGGTGGAGGAGGAGGAGGAGGAGGCGGAGGCGGAGGCGGAGATGGAGGAGGAGGCGGCGGCGGCGGAGGAGGGCAGGAGGAGGAGGAGGAGGGAGGAGGAGGAGCAGGAGGTGGAGGAGGAGGAGGAGGAGGAGGAGGAGGAGGAGGAGGGAGGAGGAGGAGGAGGAGCGGAGGCGGAGGAGGAGGAGGAGGAGGAGGAGGAGGAGGAGGAGGAGGAGGAGGAGGGAGGAGGCGGAGGCGGAGCGGAGGCGGAGGTGACCTCAAACATTCAGGAAAAACCGCACCGCCCGGATCTCGGGCCTCGCCGGCCCCGGCGGCCGCAGGCTGAGCCACCGCGGCGCCCGCGCGGCGGGCACCCGCGCGGCGCCAGCGGCGAAGGCGGCGCGGCCGCCGCGGCCGCCGCCAGCGCCGCGGCGGCGGCCGCCGCGGCCGCGGCCGCGGCTCCTCGGCGCGCGCGGCGCGCGCCGCGCGGGAGGCCGCGCGGGGGCCGCGCGGGGGCCCGCGCGGGGGGCGCGAGGGCCGCGCGGGGGCCGGCGGCTCCTCGGGCGCGGCAGCGCGGGCGCGCGCGGCGAGGGCGGCTGG